TTATTTTGTTCTTGTCGTGCTCAAGACGAGTTAAATCGCATGAGCTTTTTAAATAGGAAAGAGCTCGAGACGAGTTAACTCGGTAACTCATTAACAATAAGCTCATGCGATTTAACTCGTCTTGAGCACGACAAGAACAAAATAATTTGACGAGTATACTCGCGCAGAGCACCGAAAAGGTTAAGCGTCAAAGGACATGAACTTGAATAAAATTCATGAATGTTGATGTAGTCACAAAAATAAATACCGCGATAAATTTTCGATTATGTAGTTTCCAATAGTCTGAATGAAATTTAAACCTAGCAGAAATTTTTAAGAATATTTGTCTGACAGTGAACGTGTTAAACTACAAATAGAATATCCGATATATTCCGTACCATTTGTGTCTCATTAAAAAATAAAATCCTAAAACTCCTTCTAGAGAACTCAATTAATCGATGTTCACGAATTGCGACCTAAGATGATCCAAACGCTAATTGTAAGATCGACGTGTTTACACCGAACAAAGTTAAATGATGTCTATACTGCTAATGGTTCCATTCATTGATTCTTGATAAAACTAGCAAACATCACCACTAGTTTGTTTGCTTATATTCTAAACGGTTAAGGTTTACGTGTCTTAATTTAAACTGTACCACAACAAATCACATTGCTTGAAACTCTATTTTACGAATACGCTAATCTTAGATTTGCACTTATCACCATCTCTTTGTATTCTACGTGGACACTTTCTCTATCTAAATCGCGATAGTTCGTATTGGGTTGTGCTGGACTCGAGACAAGACTTCCGAGAGGTTACAATGAAATACTAACGATAAGTCGGACACGGTTTCTCCGGTGATCCTGGCCTCGTAAATCAAAGGACAGGTTGTACTGTGCAAGTCTAGGTTCGGAACTGCCTCTATAAAAATTATTTCGCGACATCGTTTCCCTTTACGGTTCTCAATGAAACTCGATGCAATGCAACTCGATGCAATTACACGTTCACAGGTCGGACATTGTCGTCCGATTGTTGTTGTTCACCGCTTTGCCAGCCAGAATCCAGTGTCGTCGAGTCGCTCAGACAACACTGGGGCGTCTCTTCCTCCTGACTGCTCCTGTAATCCCTGTAGTCTCTTTCTCTTCCTCTATCAGTCTCCTCCTCTCTGAAGTAACCAGAGGTGGCTGGACCTTCTTGGAGCTGTTCGTCGTCCTTTGCCGGATAGTACGAGTATCGACCCTGCTGGATCACTTCGTACTGGGCGTCCGGAGCCAAGAAAGGTCCTCTTGCGTTTCTCGGTTCGTCGCTGTTGGCGTAATTGTCGGACGGTATGTCGCCGCTCTCCGATGGCAGCGGCAGAGGTAGCCTCGATCGCTTCGATAATTGTCTTTTACCTAAACGGGCTGCTAGGTAGTCCACGCCCTCCGAATGTTCAGCACCTGGGAAAATTAAACTTATATTATGTAATTTCAATTTAAAAATGTATACATTTTGAATTATGTTTGGTTATAGCATTTTTTGGTAGAATAACAGTGCAGAAATATGGGACTTGAATGGGTCGAGCAGGATAAGGATAGGCAATCCACCCCAATTATCATTGCTATTAGGTGCAATGCTTTTGACCTAAGACATCATCACACAAGCACCCTTAATTTTATTATTTTTCTCTCGGTTACTATTTCAGATATTTAAATTCTACAGAAACGAAAATATTCGCAGTTATAAACTGCATGTCATACATATTTTTTTTCAGGGTATTTTTGTAATTATTAAGGATTGAAAACGAATAATTTATTTTTTGCAGGTGGCAATTGCAAACAACCCTGTGAGTGACACCTTCCAAAAAAATCAGGAATGATGATCGGTTATTTATCTGACACACGTAAAAGTTTCAGAACGGAGTCCTGGAACATGATTAAATAATTAAAAAGAAACAAAAATCCCGTGCGTTACGTCCCGTGCAACGGGCTGAAGAAAAATGAGACGATGTATGTCAGACACGCTTACGCGTATCGTTACATGTATCCATACGACAGGGACTGCATATTTTCACTACAACAGTCTAATAGCTTGTAAAAATATGAATCCATCAAGGTTGAATATTTTGACCTTTACGTGACATTTAGTTCGTTTCATATTGCCAGTTTTGTTTCTCTTTAATTATTGACAACTAAGTTACAGTCCATCGAGCGACGCACAGCGCGTGTTTTTAAACAATGTCTAGATATCGTTTAAGAAATAATAATAAACGGAATACTTTTAAGGAAACTTTTATGATATCAATTACAAAATTGTTGAAACTGGTTGCCGCCATGTCGTATCCATAGCTGTAGCGTAGCGTGTCTGACATTATCTCATTCTTCTTGGACCGTACGATGCGCGTAGCGTGTCTGACCATTACTCATTCTACTTCAGCCCGTTGCACGGGACGTAACGCATGCGATTTTTATGTTTCTTTTTAATCATTTAACCATGTTCCAGGACTCCGACATTTCTGAAACTTTTACATATGTCAGCTAAATAACTGATCATTCCTGATTTTTTTGGTAGGTATCACTCACAGGGATGTTTGCAATTACCACCCGCAAAAAATAAATTACTCATTTTCTACCGTTAATAATTTAAAAAATACCCTGAAAAAAAATATACGAGATGCAGTTTATAAAAAGTAATAAAGTTAAGAGTGTTTACCCTCATATTGCCCTTAAACCGGGGAGGTAACGGTCTGAAAGTTTGTGGGATGATGTTTTAGGTTAAAAGCATCGCATGGTACATAATAACAATGAAAAATTGAGGTGGTGGCCGATTGTCTATCCTTATCCTGCTAGACCTTTTGGTGTACATGACTGGAACTCGTTTGCAGGTACATCATTTTTTATCTCAATAAATTCTTCGAATATAGCAATTTAATAAGTTCTAATGTAACATTTCTAGATTCTAAAAGTGATTCTAAAAGTGATTCTAAAACAAAAGATCGAGACGTAAAGTCAATTACAGTTTTGTTTCCGATTCCGATATTATCGCGCAAGCTTCCCAGGACTAATGCACCAAATTGTTTCGTTGGCGGACCTAAGGAAAAAAGAAACTGTCTAACCTTCTTTCTCCACAGCCAAATCGTAAAAACTGCTCTCGGGCCCGCAACACGAAGACACGTCGCCAAAATAGAGTTCGCTTTCCGATTGTTTCGGTCCAGGATTCGCCTCCTGCTGGAACGCACCATTTTCCACTCCCTTCAAGGGCTTCCTGATCCTTCTACCTTTCATGGTGCCCTCGTTTCCACCCTCCGGATCGGTGCTGTTCGATATTTCCTCGGCGTTCTCGTAATTATCCGAGGGGCGTTTCGCGGACCTCGATCTGTGATCTGTAACGGTAACGTTCAGCTTCCAAGAACACGTTTTCTTGTCGCAGTAACGCTTGTAATCGATGCGCGTATGATCGTGATAGCGCGTTACCTTCATTGTTCTCGAAATTCTCTATTCGTTTAGCGATTCTGGGCCTCTGTTCGACTACTTGGGGCCTCCTTGCCGGACTGTTAGGATCGCTGTAGGGCGGCGGAGGGCCCCACATGGGCACAGGAGCCTCCAGAACGCTGTAAGAGGCCGTGCTTGGCGTGTACGGGCCCGTCTGCGCGTTCAACACCGAGTAAGGACCGCTGGATTGAGAATTCAGGACGCTGTAAGGGCCGTTGGTGTTCTCCGCGTTGGCTTCCGTCTGTCTGGCTTGGGTGTGGAAGCCGTAATTCGAATCGGGACTTGGAGCTGGTCCTCTGGATCTGGACCATGGCAAACGCCATCTTCTGCAAGATCAGAGAGAAATGTATTGGTTATATGCATATTATATTTTCTTGTTATTATTGCTCTTAAACGTGTTTATTATGCATACATGGGGTAAGTAGCTTGAACGTGTGACTGTTTCACAGCGATAGAGGGAAATTGTCTTATTACCGACTAACACAATTTATGAATACAAATGAGTCCATTTGTTTACATTCGACGATTATGGACTGGAAGAAGAATACCGAAATATATATGAAAATGTTCAATCTATCCCTATCATCTGTTCAAAGTCGAATATTTTCATTTGTAATTAGACATTTTATGCATCTTGAAATGCTACATTCGAGGGTAGAAAGTTAAATATACCATTTTACGTATTTAAAAAATTAAAGTTGACCTTCGTGTCTTCTTTAAACCTTTACCTACACAAATATTCGTTTTAAAAGTAAGCATGATTTGTTCGACGTTTTTATAGCTATCACCAAAAGCGAATGACATATTCGGTTCGAGTGAACACCCAAAAATAACGAATATTTCTACCTAGTTTGTAATCATTTTCCTCGTTATGAGAATGTTGAGTTCCCATTAGTAAACCGATTCTATTAAACTGTTTGCGTACAATGTTGGATAACTTCTTCGCTTCCTCGATGGTAGATTAACAGGTTCACTTCATGTCAATTTATTGAGTAATCAATTGTAGGAATTATACACGCGTGACTTATGCATGACGGTGCACCGGGACGTATCAGTTGAGTAGCTAGCCAGTTTTTGTAGGAATTTAAGGCTTTTCCAATGAATGATTATCTTTAATAGGAGTAATTGGTTGGCCTGTTTGTTATACGTACACACATACAGTATATATATACTGCTTATCGGAAATTAAATTTATTATATTATATAATTGGAAAATCTTTTTCCAACACATAAATTTTGAAAAATTTAATATATAATTGGAAAATTTTATACATACATACATATATATATATATATATATATATATGTATAAGACCAATTACTCCTATTAAAGATAATCATTCATTGGAAAAGCCTTAAATTCCTATATATATATATAGCTTAGATCCCATATCTACTCAAACAGTATTTCCGTGTAAACAGTACAGCATTAACAATTTTATAACATTTACCAACTTTATTAGGGATTATGGATAACCACTGCATTTATCATATTCATCGTAACATATACATATACGTCACAACCTGTCCATGAACGTATGCATCATATATTCCACAAATTACTCTAATAATTTTAACATATTATTTACTGCAAGTACTTATATTTTAGATATCTTTAACATATGTTTTCCCACATTTCGATACGCCATAAGTATATAAATCCCGCAGTCTAATTACAAAGCATAATGTTTGTGCTGTCACTGACGAACAGTCGTTCCGTACGCGAAAGTAAAACATATTAAAAATTCGTAAGCGCTACATATTGTGATGCTGGAAATATTGCTTCGAAATCTGAGCCCAGTTTCTCGCGAGAGAATTCTGTTCATTCGAATTTCGATTCTTCTAATGCTTCAGGCATGCCATGCGCGTTCCACGGTCGACAGAATATTTCCCTCGGCGAGGGACAATTTTTTTCGCGCGAAATATCGCGATTCGACGATCGTATCTGTCCGCGAGCGGACGCGAAAGCAATCACGGGGCACGATCGCGGTTTTTATCACATCGACTTTGGACGAAAAGCGAACCCCAAAGAGCGCGTCGTCAGTCATAATTTAATTCGCAAGACGAAGAAATCTCTCGGGTAAATGTCAGAGAACGGAATGGAATGTCTGGCTTAATTAATGCCATACATTAGCGGATTACCGGAATACAATGAGTGCCTGGGAGCCAGAGGAACGTTCGTTTGTTTACGAGTTTATTACGCTCCGCAACCGACATTCGTGACACTCGTGAATGAAACCCGTTGAATATGTATCGTTTTGTCCCGAGACAAACGTGCCACGCCGCATCTGAATTGCATCGATAACTGCTCAATGAAGTTCATCGTTCCACGTTTTCCTATTAAAGTCGTAACGATGCAAACGTCGTAACTATACCTGTCGTGCGTGTTATTCTTATGCAACTACGTGCATCGTGACGTAAAAGTACGATCGCACCTTCCACTTGGCAAGTTTACGACTTTTTCAATACAAATTTTCTTATTTATATTTTCGCTCAAATGTCTAATGCGTTAAGTATCAATTGTAATGGTTATAATTTACAACCGGGGAAATTTTATAGTATTTCTGCGCGGTGTTTTCTTATGAAAAATGTCTTTAGTTTGAGTGTTAATTACTTGATAATTACGAATTAATTTCTTTCTTGAAACATGAAATAAGAGGAAAGGAAAGGAAAGGATTAATCTCTCGAGGAATAGCATGTATGCACAGGTTTGTTTTTATATCATAGTAATCATTATTTACTATCGAAATGGCTTTTGTAATTAAAAAATATGCAATATTAAAGTGGGACAGCATATACTCTATATACCCTACGGTGTTGTTATACTTAAAATAAAACATGATAAATTTGCCCCACAATTATAATATTATAACTAGACTTCTAGGAAATTTGAACGCTAACCATACACTAGTGTCCGAATATTTTTGGAAGTCACTGTACCTTCTGATGAAATAATTTCTATTTCAACTGGATTATTACTAGACTGCGGATCTTTATGCATTTATAGGAAATTTGAGCGTGCAAGAAATTACAAAATGCAAACAATATGCAAGAATATAAAAAAGATTCAAAGTAAAGTTCACGTTATAATATTTGCAGAATAAAATAAATTCCTATTTAGGTTCAATTTGTGTAGGCACGATCGCGAAGATTTTATTTTGCATAAAGATCCGCGGTCTAATTATAATTAATAGACTGAACTCGAAACGAAATAATAGTGCACTTTGTACCAAAAATATTCGTTATAACATAAAAAGTTACTCTCTTTTAAATCGTTTGCGTCCGAAACTGTCAAGGTTCAACAGCTCTAGAAAACAATCAATTTTTATTCTTTTGTGGTCTTTTGTGTTTGGAGCTCTTATTCGCAAACTGAATTCAAAAACTATAGGCTGCTATAGACGGTTTTTTGTAAGGGCCAAGTCTTCTGCCACGCGTTTTAAACTTTAATCTCATTTTATTCAAAACTCAGATTTTCAAACTTTTATACAATGTTATGAACTGAATGACTTCAAATTTTCGTTGTAGCTATTTTACACATGTCTAAATATTATCCTTTGAAATGAGACGAAATATTGATGCGTTACCCACAGCCTTACCTTTTTTATAAAAAAAAAAGGAAATACGATATTTCAGAGATGTGTGTTTAAAATTAATCTTTTTTTTTTTTTTTTTTTTTTTTTTACTACATATTTAACGTCGCATCAACCTTTGGTTATTAACGACAGTTTCTTACGAGGTTTTCTCCAATGTTAGATGTTGGTCCATACATGTGCATCTTTAAGTAGCTGGATTATTTTGTTTAAGTTTTCTTTTGTGCTCCACGCTTCGTTTCAACGGTTTCGTCAAGTATTGGAAATTAGAATAGTGGTAAATACATATTCAAAGAGTATATCACGAGCTATTTGTCTGTTTTAAATAATTGTTTCTGTTAAAACTCTGTATACCCTGGAAAGTCATAATCTCTGCATAGTGTTTTTCTTCATAGTGTTCCGATCGAAGGTTTGCCATACCCAGTTCGTGCAACAGTTTCAAACTACACGCAAAATTTCTAAAAAAAGATGGCTCTATGTTGTCGTATCAAATTGAAACATTCTTGTAAAATACATTAACTATATTACGTTTTCTAGGATAACCCATCCCCATAAATGACACTGCGTCCACCCGCGGGATAAGTTTGCGTACCTCGACGGCGCCAAGTCAGGATTCGGCGTGTACAAATTTCCCGGCGTCTGGGCCCACCAAGGGCTGGCACCGCCGCAGTCGTTGCAACACCCGCAGGAACCAGTCGGCGGTCCCACTGTGCCTCCCTGGCCGTACAGAGATCTGCATCTGAGCTCCAACTGCTCCCAGTACATCTTCTTCTTCTCGTGACTCAACAACTGGTACACCAGCATACACGAGAATATGCAGGCCAAGATTCCCGCGACCGAGACGCCGAACAACGCTCTCAGGCAGGCGTGCAGGGCACCGTGGACCGCCTCGCAGTGAGGAGTGCCCTCGAAGAGGACTCCTGGATCTCCTTCTGGTGCTCCGTAACACGTGCACGACCTGAAGCAATAATAATCGATCGTTACCAGTTTTAGCGGTATTGGATTCTGTCTAAAATAACTGCGTGTGTAGTCGAATTAACGGTGCATACTAGAGATCACGGTTTTGAACGGGTATTACAATACACGGGTACACAGAACACATGTACCGTGTATTAAGGAATTAAGAACACGGGTATTTTTAATACACGAGTACCCGGGTATCGAAATACACGGATACGCATTATTACGCGGTTACGCGGATTTTTTTCGGGTATCTGTCAGCAACTCGAGATGCTTTCTTAGCATTTTATTGTCACGAATACTTTCTTGTAACTTTTTATGGGGATCTTTTATTTTTCTATGATAACTCCTTGAGTCCTCCACTTTTTCACGTACTTGGCGTAATTTTTTTACTTTTTTGAATTCTACTGTCACGAATGACTAAGCTTGGAGCGTCTTTGAAAACGAGATCTCTAATTTGAGATTTGAAAATCAGGTCACCTTTGTTTCGACGATAATCATTTTATTGACACTTCGAGTTAAAAAGGAATTAAACCTAAAGAGAACCTAGTGGTGACTGAGAGTCAAAGGTGTTGTGCAAAGGGTTAAAGAAAGCATTATTTGGAAATCGCAGACAGACGCTTCAATTTTGTTCAATTTTATTTAGATAGATTATGGTTATTAGAGTTAAACGAGTACCTGGCTTTCACGGTGTAAACGCATTTTCGAAGGCCCTGGAGCCGGGACATGTGTATCACTGTCGTCGTGACGGTGACCAGCACGCACACCAGGGCGCACACCACGCCAACGGAACCGCAGACCTTCATCTGGAAAAAGTCAGGTACACGATTCTACAATGAAACTGTCGGCGACGGTATCTTCCGACGGGTCACGGTTTGCTTACCAGAAGACCGTATCTGTGCTTCCGCCTCGCGAGTAGCATCGTGAACAGCCCCATTAAAATTAACTGTAAAACGCATTGAATGTAAATCATCATTCGACGTGCGCGCGGCGCACAGTGCGGAATAAGTGGACAAAATTCAATATTAGTATATATATATATAAAAATGTTAGGCAGATTTCTATCGTAGAAAATGTGTGTCAGCGTGGAAATTGTTATAAATAATCACGTATCAATCATTTGTATCCATAATACAATCATTATCTTTAAACAAACATACAGACAAAACGGCAGAAAATATCCTGAGTTCTCAACATATTTGGATAGATTATTTGTTATATTTTAAGAAACTTATAAGTTTGTTCGCAAATACTTGCATCGTTCGGTTTTGCATTATTTTTAATCAGGGACGGTACTGTTGGTGTAGGGTCGTAATCGGAAGTTGAAAATTCTGATTTAATTGATTTATGGATTTCTATAAAAATTATTTCTCACATCCTCGGCCAAAACGAAACATATCTTGTTAAATAACATATAGGAGCAACTTCTATTATTTATGAGAAAAAAATTCCTGAAGAATTCGAAATATGGACTATTAAAGCTACAATTTTACAATATTACATCGTTTTCCTGTATGATAATCATAAACTCATACATACCGTTGAATTCAGAATAAAAGAACGCTTTTACTGATCCAGAAATAAATCAAAATTTTCAAAAATTTCGAGGGGAGGTGGTAATTTAAAATAAAAATTTGTTGTTTTTTTTTTTTAAATTTGTTGGTATAGGCCTCTAAAAATAGTGTAATGTTCGCTTGAACATTTTTTTGAAATCTCTGATCGTTTCTGAGCATAAGTAAACGGGGCGACTCGGACTAAAGGGTTAATTTCTCCCTTCAAAACGCAAAAGTCGCACGTACTGAGGATGGTGCAATTTATAACAAGGTCCCACAAACAAGTATACAAAGCTTCATCAAAATCGAGGTTTGTTAATTTTTTGTTAAATTTGTTAATTTTGTTTGTGATTTTATCAATGTTTATGGTTAATTTTAATTTTTCCTTTTTGTAAATAAATAGCAATATATTTATAGTAGCAATGAAATTTTGATTTTTGTCCACAATTTTGATATTTGTCCGCACTGTGCGGCGCTTTCGTTTGGGCGCGACCCGTGTTTGCCCGCGATGGAAATTAATTCGAACGGGCGCGCAACGTTAAAGGAAGAATCGGCTAATAGATTCCGATCCGCGCCTCTCACCATTATGCCAGGAATGTAAGATGGTACAGTCTCAAAGAGCGCTAGGCTGGCCGTGTGGGCTGAAAGGACCGCGTGCACCGCCAAAAAGAGACTACCGACCGCAGCGCTCAGCCCACCACAAAGGCAACAAAGGACAACGTACTTCTTGCAGCAACCACCTTCGCCGGTGTGGCCTGTGAAAGAAAAATTGGTCAACGACGGAACAAAAATGACGCGCGGGGAATCATACGCGAGGGTGCAACGGGTGGGACGTGGCCGATGGTCCGGGGGAGGATAGCAGAAGTAAAAAAATAATTAAGGGAGTATTCTGAATTAGGAGGTCTTAAAAAAGCGGTTTTTCGTGATTTTTTTTAGGATGGAAAGAAATAATTAATTCTATTGAACTTTTTATACTATTTTCATACATATTTGAGTAGTCTTTACAAATTTTTTCAACAAGAAATATTCAAGTTGAGTCGACTGTGACGCACATTTGTAGAGCACCTCACAATTAAGGGGGGAAGGTCAAGTAAAATTCAACATTTTGACCTGTTTTTTGTTTTGTTTAGAAAATTAGTTTACCATCTGGAGAATGTGCTCCGACCATTTCAGCTAAAACTACGAAGTCTAAGTGTGCCTACAAAGTCATTAAAGTGATGCGCTCCGAACGGTACACGAGGGACTATTTTTAGATCCGGAACCTTAAAACGCATTTTTCTCAAAACACAAAATTTCGCGTGCCGTGCAATGTAGCTTAGAGGTTTCTCAGCCGATTGCTATGAAACTTGGCACAAAGTATTTCTTAAACTATTCTCCTTTGCATCAACCTAAAGGTTTTTATAAAAATTGAAATACACAATGTTTTTAATCACTCTTTTTTATAACAAGATTTTTTTAACGTGGCGTGAAATTTTAAACTAAAAATTTTTCTCTTTTAATCTAGGTTGATGCAAAGCGGATTACTATATTTTAACGAAAAATTGGTGGATTTTTGATTTCAAATAATTAAAGTGATCTGCGCGTTGCACGGCGCATTTTCGAAAAGCCAACTTCAAACAGCTGCTGTTCATTCATTTATGAATATTTTTACATAAAAAAAATTATATAGATTACCTAGATGCTACAAAATATCAAGTAATTAGTTGTAAATAAATATATATTACGCACTCTTCAAAAATAATTCGCGAAATAGCGGTTCTTTACTTGACCCTCCCCCCTTAAAACCTCTTATCGGCGGGAAAGATACAGGTCGTAATTTTGGTTTGACACATAAAAACCAAAAGAAATTTCCATTTTCATACATTTTTCTTCTATGTGAACTAAAAAAATTCATATCAAAAAACTTTTAAACACCTTTTTTATCAAGTTAAAGTGATTCTTTTTAGCCAAAGAACTCGTTCTTTTTCTCAAACTTGCAGTATTTTCACATTTCACCATTTTTGCAGGTTTTTCTTGGTTCACATAGAAGAAAAATATATGAGAAAAAAAAATTTCTTTAGGTTTTTTTGTGTCAAACCAAAATTATGACCTGCATGTTCCCCGCCGATAGGAGATTTTAATTGTGATGTCCTCTACAAATGTGCGTCACAATCGACTCAACTTGAATATTTCTTGTTGAAAAAATTTGTAAAGACTACTGAAATATGTATGAAAATAGGATAAAAAGTTCAATAGAATTAATTATTTTTTTCCATCCTAAAAAAAATTCACGAAAAACCCCTTTTGTCAGACCCTTCTAATTTAGGATACCCTCGTAAATGGATATTGATATTGAACGTACTACATCATGTATGATTTTATTTGCAATCTGACGATGCAGTAAGAAATAGAAGCCAATGTCTCCAGAGGAAATTCAAACTTATAGGGACAAGAATGCGAAAAATGTACTTAAACAGAATTAAATTAATCATGCAGCAATGGAATTTAATGGAAGATCCTCTAATACAACTGATGCTTATTTTAAATATACAATATGGAAGAATAATGGAAGAAATAAGGATTAAATGATTTTCAGCAAAGAATCGTAGAAGAAAATTTAAAAAAATCAAAACAATTATTAGAGTCTGCAAATGTTTGAATTTCCAGACAAAAAATGTACGTTGTCGTTTAAATTACAAAAACAGCGGTATCGATTGACGTTTCAATTATATTTGCTGGTACTCTTCGAGGTTATAATAATAAATAACGATCAGACTGCGAATTATAAAAATTTATCTATAGAAATATGAAACACATATGCTTGAACGTGTCCAGAATATTTGTGCTTATACAATATTAAATACTTTACAACAAAGACAGCATTTATAATATTATTTTAAAACAATTTTTAAAAGAACATGAAAATAAATAAAAACGTTAGTTATAATTACTCACAAACAGAATTAACTCTTACTTACTGCTTTTAAATCCCTACCCAGAAAAAAAAATACCGAGATCAATTTATGATAAGTAAAAAAAAAGTATACAGTGTCAAAAATCGGTACTGATAATAATATATAGCGAAAAAGAAATTTTTTTTATTGTTGAAAGTCGAAAAAAAAAATAGTAATTATGGAAGGCCCACTACCGGATCGGGTTTGGAGGTTGCAGGATGGTTAGAAGTTTAAAATAGAAAATCTTCAAGAAAATTGAAGGATACACAGTTTTAAAAACACGATTGAATGCTTAAAATTAAAATCTCGATTAAAAACACTTTAAATATTTTTTTTGTATTTTCTTCTGTAAAGGTTATCTAAAGGCGACAATTTTGAAAAAAAAAATCAAAATTGAATTTCAACCATTATTAAGAGAGTTATGACCAAAAAAAAAAAACAAAAAATGAGCGGTTTTTTTTTTAAATTCCATATTTGTTGAACCAGTGATCAACAAAATCTAAAAATTTACCAGGAAGAATCTTTTGAGGGGTACTAAAAAATACCAAAAAGTAAATAAAGTAAAAAAGTAAATTGTTTGAACCTAATCGCCTTCTAAAAAGCGAACGATCAAGTAGAAACGCTAGCCGCTCATTCCTGTATCATCATTTAATTCGTAATTTTTCGCGAGGCAACTAATTTGGTAAATATAAAAAAATATCGACTCTTAATACATTATTGTCGTACATTCGTCTCGTAGTACGCGTCAAATGTATATATCAGGTTGTCCCGAAAGTTTCTTTCGCAAGTTGTACTCAATTATTTTATGTGGTGGTGTTTATATAAATAGACGATCTAATTTCATAGACATTCATGTTGTAACAGTAATGAAGCAAAATGAATCGTACACAATTCAGTAATGTAACATAAAACATAAAATATTGTGCATGCGTTACATATTAACGCGTTGGCTGCCAGACTGAAACTCGTGGAAATGTCTACAGAATAAAAATTTTGTCTCGAGACTATCGAAGATTAGATAATTTACCTCTTATTCTAGTACTTAATTGTTGTAACCTCACCAAATTCACGAATTCTATCCAGATTTATTTTTATTACCGCTTCACCTTCGAAATTAATTTTTTTCATTACTTAATAGAAGTAATGATTACCTGTCACCCGTTCCTGGGTGACGTGGCGACCAACGTGTTAATAAAGCGAAAGAAACTTTTGAGACAACATAATATTTCTCTATTTATCAATCGTTCGATGATCCATCATTAATTTCTTTCTTTTCTCCGCGAACTCTATTCCGCCCCTAATTGCACTCGACGCGCGTGCCGATAATCTCGATCCCGCAACATCGACGACAGGATTTTTATGTGAAATTACGCCAGCGTACAAAATTGCCTCCACTCGAGGTAAGCATCGCGCCGATTGTCGATTTTTCGTGGTAACAGAGGTATTCCCATTCGCTCGTCATCCGAGTACGACTTTTGTTATCAAAGCTTAACGATTCAGCCGACTACGCTGTACTGGAAATTCCCTTCGTGAATGTTGAGCGATGGAATCGTCGGTACCGCGTCGCATCAAAGACAATAGCAGATTCTTTCACTCTCCGGAGAGTGGGAGAGGGGAGAAGAGAGAGAAAGACTCGACAGAGCTGAACTTTTTAATCAGGTTTCCCATTAATAAAGAAGAATACCGAGCCTTTCTATAGAGCACCTAGAGAACAAGTGGAGAGATCATCTTCTGTAATTAAAAATCTAATTATTTTTCTGCCGACGAGTAAAGTCTGTTGAAGATTATGTAGGTGACTCCGGAATTGAAAAATTGCGAGTGGCTGGGAATAGTCGCTCCCACGGTCGTGTAAAATTTAAGTCGACATTCCTTCGAATGACCATTCGGTAATAAAACGACCATCGCGACTCTTCCCGGCCTTACATTTTGACAAAACCGACCATTGTCGCGATTCGACGAGTTAGGATCGCAGTGGAAGACGGTGCCGAACGACTCTTCTTTTCGGGAAAGTTTATTTCCTTTGCCTCGAATTTGTCAAAAGAGACGCTCGACGGTTCGGGATTTTCTTTTCAATGACTCGAAGGGTTCTTTTCTTCGATTTCGATACGCGCAACCTTACCTCAAGGTTTGCCACGGTTTCCCATTGAAATCGTCAAAGAAAGTTTCACCGGCAACCTCGAAGTACCTGTTACCAAAGCTTAAGACCGATTCGTCGAATTGCACCTGAACTACCCGAATCGGTACAGTTACGATCAGAAAAAAGCACTCCATTCGGTGCCACCGAAGCGAAACCGACGTTTGGGCAACAATAGACAAAGCAAAGTGATTTCGGGGATAAACGAACCAGCTGGGTTTTCCTATTTTCTTCAAAACGACAATCTTAGATTCTACTGGGTTCTCCCATAAGTTCCCGGACACTTGATGCGTGAATTTTTCACATTAAAATTCTTTATTACGTTTGATCCAAATCGGAATTGAACAATTGTCGTGGCCAAAATTATTTTAGCTTTATTTAAAGATTTAAGGTTGTATCGTCGTAGGTCGTTGAATTCGTTTCGACACCTGCTGAAATATTATAAAGTCAGAAATATATGTTAACGTTTAAAAAATCGAATTGGTCTCAATTATTTATTTAAAGAGAAAAATTTTTTTTATCGTTTATACTGAAATTTGTAAAGATGTTAATACTGATCAAGTTTTGTTGCAAACGTTTTATTATTGGATCATCAGAAATGTCTGAAAAAAATTGTGCTAAACTGTCCTTCCGGTCACAGCTCATTGAGCTTCGTGAAGTTGCCACCCCCAAATGCAAATTTTGATAC